ACTGTCTTTGCTAAGTGTTTAAGATGAAGCAAGTCAAACTGACTTTTGTTTCTACCTATTGTTTACAGTCAGCTGAGTTATCCTGGGAGTCTTCGGGAACTTCATAGCAGCTTTTCAGTTCTGCTAGTGTCATTTGCGCTAGGATGGGTCCAGGCCTTGCTTGACCATATGGCTTCCCTCAGAAGCATCAGGGATGTCTCCCTTTTTTAATGACCCTCCTCTTTACAGCAAATGTACCGATTGGCTTTCTGTCCTCCACTGGTCTCATTAACCTCCCTGCTCAGGAGGTTATGTGGCCTAGAGTTGCTGAGCCCTTTGGAGAAGTCCCCTATTCCCTGATTCAGACTGACTCAGAGGGCAAGAGCCAAATATTGGGGGTTTTTTTTGGCCCTTTTAATTTAACTAATTTTAAAAACTTGATCTTAAACATCCAGCAAATAAGTTAACAGCCTTATATTAAGAGCACTGGGCTTTAATGTCTATCTCTTTATCCTGTAGGTGATAACTCCTTATCTTATGTTGACCCAGGTTGTGTTCTTAAAGCAATATCTCTTTAAAACATTAACAGGCAATCCTTAAACCATCTATAAGCAAACTACAAAACAAAACTAGCTAGGGTAAAAACATATTTAGCTTATATAATAGCTACCTTGAATTCTGGCAGGGTTATACATCATAATTTCCTGTTTGAGATCCTAGTAATCTTGGCAAAAACCTACTTTTGGACACAACTTTAACTGTACTGAAATCTGGCTTACTTCTTTCATAGCCATTTTCACATGTAGTGAGATGGGACAGAGCCTTATCTCAAGTAAGGCAGGGCTCTTTATAAATCTCAAGTACTATAGTTCTGAAGCTGATCATTTTACAAAGTTTACATAAATTGTTGTTCAAGTTTACATGAACTTTAGCTAACACAACATAATATCACACTTAAAACATGAATTAAAGGCTGAAAGCTTTTAACCTCTTGTAGAAAAGTAGTAATGTACTTTTGTGTTTTGCAATAAAACCTTCACACAGATTAGGCTCTTATTAACTTAAAAATACATAAATTGTATCTTAGAGTAGAAAGTAACATGGAACAGTACATATCTTATTGATAACAAGTTCAGTTATAGAACACAAATGATATAATTGAATCTCTAACATGTTTTTTTTTTTTTAAGCCTAAAATTACCATACAACTTTAGAACACCAGCTTGATATAATGTTCTTTTGAAGCTTCTACCTTACAGACTTGTATACCTGGAAGATATGAACACATTTATAACACCATAATTACATAAACCTCCTTTTGTTCACATTTTGAAACAATACTTGTAAACTTTTAAATTTAAACAGAGTTAACATTTTATTAGGGCCTTTTTGAACACCTAGAGAAACTTATAAGCTTAATTTTGAGGACATCTTTACTTTTATCTGTTTACCCAATCTAAATTGAGCCGTTTGAATCACGTGAATTAAAGATATTTGGATCTTTTTTTAATTTTTTTTTATTTTTTATGAGCGCTCCTCATCTGTCAATTGTTATATCACTGCAGGATATATGGACATACACACATACAGACATACCGACATACAACACATAACAAGAGTGTGCACACATAACAATAATAAAGGCCTCGTAGCTTTTCGCAGATGAAATCTCCATTGCAATGTTTTTGTGTTTTTTTTTTTTTTTTTTTTTAAACTTTACTGATCAGAAAAACATTAACCTAGGTCTGCAGGATCAGAATCACGAGCTCAAAAAAATACAGAATCTAAGAAAAAACAAGAGTCCTAAAAAAAAAGATGACTGGCCAGTAGTTAGTAAATACCATACAATTTACTTCAAGTTATATTTCCAGGTTTAGATGTTGAAAATTATGATACAAATTTAAGAAGTAATTCCCAAAATTTAAAATTTCATATCTTTTTACATTAGAAAAACTTGTTCACATAAAACTGGAAATAGGACCTCTACCATCAGAAGAAATTTCTTTAGTACCTCTAAGCCACTTTGCTTGTTCTAAAGTTCCTAAAGTAGCATTGAGTTACATTAAATTTGCTCACACACTACCATATATATCTGAAATTAAGCTTTGAAAATTTCTAAGACTATTGCTATTTAATTATCTAATGTCATTTTTATGAGCCAGACCAACGTTTTAATTTCTTTTCAGGCTACCCAGTTCAAAATTGAAACTCTTTAATTTTTTATCCCAAGTATTTAAGTTTTCTAGTATGAACTATCTGAAATCAAACTAAACAATTGCTTACACCCAACTTTTAACTGCAAGATAGTGCAATGCTTTAGAAACCCATTTAGATACCAGATTGTTACAATAAAAATTATTATTTTTTTTAGACACACATTTAACCTAGATTATCTCTAAGAAACAATCAGACAACCAGATAAGAAAATATCTCTCCAGGTTTTAAACTTTCATTTAATTATGACTCCCATCAGTGGCACCATAGACTTTCCCATGAGTGGACCAGATGTTTTCACGTAGGGGCAACTATAGGTGTAAAATCAAGGGTCTCAGTGTGACTGGCTTTACTGCATTCAGTGTCCCTTCTTTTTAAGTAAACAGAGGTGGTGTAATCCCTAAGATGTAGATAAGGACCCAGGGAACTCCCCAGAGCTAAATGGCTCTGGCAGCTGCTGGGAGTCCCTTAATCCTATCTTTCACCCATAGGATCAGTTCCTCCAGTTTGGTTTGACCTTAGGCATTAGGCATTTTTTTTTTTTTAACTTTTTAGTAGCCAGCTCCCAAAAAGTCCATCCTCTGCTTGCAGTTGTTTCGAGTGCTAGGCTTCCCCAAGAAAGCAGAGTGGGGACTCCTTAAAAGTCCCCTTGAGAGTGTCAAAATTTGTGACTGAAAATTTGGTTCCCATCTCTAAAACCAATTAACACCAATTTAATAATGAGGACAGGGCTTTGAGAAAAGTCAAAGCGAGATGTCAAAGTTGTTAAATCCCCAGCAGGCATCTCTATTTGCACTCAAGCCGGTTATGGGGGGGGGAAGAAAACATTGCTTCTCTAGTCTCAGTATTCAGCCTTAGATGGAATTTATCATCTGCCTTGGGCTGCATTTCCAAGCAGCCCGACTCCAGGAAGACCCGTTCGCTTCCTTGGCCCTGTGATAACACTCGGGAGGTTTGGGGACCCGTTCCCTTCTACCCCCACGAGGGAGGGAGAGAGCCGGGTGCCCCTGAGCCGCTTTTTTTTTTTTTTCTTCTTAACTTTTACTGACTGGTTGTCTGCCCGATTTCGGACGTCCTGCCAATGGTCAAGGGTGAGACTCAAAGGAGTTGTTATGGATTGCCCCATGTTAGTCTTAGATGGAGTGAGAAAGTGCAAAGGCAAGAAGACAGACACAAATATCAGACTGGACACAGAGAACGCTGCGCGGCTCGAGCACAAACCGAACGTACCTGACGGATTAGGGAGAGGAGGGATACCGTCACCTCCGTCACCCACGAGTACAGTGTACTCTACAGAACATTGGAGGCCCCCCCAAGATGGGCCTCCCTGAGCCCCTGGGACGTCTCCCAGGGTGGCAGGGGAGAAGTCCGAGTTCGTCAACTCCTTCTCAAGCTGCCCAGAATACAGAGCGATTACGCATAATCGTACAGACGCTGCGCATGAACAGATAACAAGATAACAACCAGACAGAGAGAGACACAAAACGACACGAACTGGCCAGCTTACCTCCCAGTGGTTATCGGGTGTTCCTCGGGCAGGGATCCGGATGGGGTTACAGGAGTTCTCCTGGCTGGCTCGCCAAATGAAAGACCCGCCAATTCCCTGTCCAAGAAAGACGCACGAGGCACTGGCTGCAAAAGCAAGAGGTGATTTATTGATACACAGGCGCCTGCGGGTGCTCAGCGAAACCTCAGCCGGAGCTTCGGTGAACTGGCACACCGGGCTTTGGGGTACAGATCTTTTATAGGGTACAGTGGTCAGTTTCCCTCCTAGCACAGTAACAGGTATCTCATTGGCTCTTTTGAATCCAGCATATAGGTCACTTAAAGGGTAAACTTGTTTTTCACTATAGGTTCCTGGAAAAACCACACAAAAACCATTTGTTATTCATTGTATGGTTTTTCATTGTATGATCCCGTTTGCCCAACCATGCCGGCTCCTTTCCCAACCATCCTGTCCTTTCTTAATCGGTTACACTTAACTGATTTTCTGAAAAATACATCTGACGTCTGTGCAGGTGCGGAAGCAAGCCCTGGTGATTTATTACTGGGCCTAAAGTTATTGGGCTGGGGTCTTTCAGTGATAGCAGCAGTTTTGGGCTCAGGGAGAAGTTTGACCCACCCCCTGTCCCTCCTGCAGACACCCGAACATCCTACGCCTCTGCAACTATTTCTATGATTCTCTCCGGATATACCTGATTCTGGAGTTTGCTCCCAGGGGTGAGCTCTACAACTTGCTGCAGAGAAGCGGCCCCTTGGATGAGCAGCACACAGCCACGGTGAGGGGGCCTGGGCTCTGGGGGCCTTGGGCTCACTGCCGGCCTGTGGTGGAGTGGGGGGCTCTGGCTGGTCAGATTGCCGTTTAAGTTGATTTCTGAATTTTATTCTGAGAATTTTAGATAGTGAATAATCCTCACATTTTGATACTTTAATTACCCTATGTGTATCCAGAATATTATTTCTTGAGTCTGACTCTACTCTCTTGTACAATATAAGGAGCCAAAAACACTTATTGAAAGGCTATGAGGGATTTACTAAATAAATGTATGGAACTCATAACTAGAAGTTTTTTTGTTTTTGTTTTTGTATTGGGGGAGGGGGAATGGATTCTGAGAATTGAACTCAGGGGCACTCAACCACTGAGCCACATCCCCAGCGCTGTTTTGTATTTCATTTAGACACAGGGTCTCACTGAGTTGCTTAGTGCCTCACCATTGCTGAGGCTGGCTTTGAACTCATTCTCTACCTGCCTCAGCCCCCAGAGCCTCTGGGATTACAGGCATGCACCACTGTGCCCAGCAGTAACGGGAGATTTCTAGAGGGCACCAGGACAGGACCCACAGCCATGGCCATGCCAACAGTGGTGGCTGGGCGGGTTGCTATCAGGATGAATGACTGACTCCAGGTAGCCTCCTGGTTCTCCTATTCCCTCTGTTGGGGCTCAAGTGTTTTGGGAGATGGTGATTGGCTCAGTGGAGGTTCTGTCTGGCTACTTGCTGTGGGAGGGCAATAGGACCTGTCCAGTTCAACATCCATCCTTTCCCCTTCCCAAACTGGACCTCTGGTGCCACTAAAAGGTGGTATTGGGGTGAGTTGCCAAGAGCAAGATTCCTCTGCACTCCCAAGGTTCACGAGGAGCATTCTGTCTGATGGGAAGTGTGGAAGGCTTGCCTTTCAGATGCCTTCACTTTGTTCACAGATAATGGAGGAGTTGGCAGACGCCCTGACATACTGCCACAACAATAAGGTGATTCACAGGGACATTAAGCCAGAAAATCTGCTGCTGGGTCTGATGGGTGAGGTGAAGATTGCAGACTTTGGCTGGTCTGTGCACGCCCCCTCCCTCAGGTAGGTCAGATAGTCGTTGGGTAGGCCCTGGGTGCCAGTGAAGAGTGGCCCAGTTGAATTCATTGCAAATGTAAGACCTAGATACAAACCTGGGTTTGTACCTGAACACTGCCATTTTTAAGTAGAAAATGGTCAAATATTTCCTGGGCTGGAGATGTAGCTGAGTGGTAGAGGGTCTCTGGGTTCAATCTCCAGTACTGCAACTTAAAGATTTATTGTGGCCCAACTGGAACTTTTATTTTCTGATCTTTGTTAATGTATGACTTTAGCAATAAGATTTCATGTAAATACCTAATAACTTATGGACCATTGCCCATACTTCCAGCAGTGTATTGTTCTGTATGAATAGATTAGAATCCATTCACTGGGTCCTTAATGTACCATCACTCTGTTTCTTGATGCTGAGAATATTTTTGTGAAAGCGTTCTGGATCATGAGCTAAATGATTGCATGAATTTCAACACACATTGTTAGCGGTCCTTCTTTCTCTGTACCTTGGTCCATGTTAAATGTTGGTGTCTTCAAACCCCGGTGCTTGGGCAGGGACTTCCAGGATTTCCCTGATCTGGGCCTCTGCACAGTGCTCCCCTCTCCCTCCACCAGGAGACAGACTATGTGTGGGACTCTGGACTACTTGCCCCCAGAAATAGTGGAAGGCAGGACCTACGATGAGAAGGTGGACCTGTGGTGCCTCGGGGTGCTCTGCTACGAGCTGCTGGTGAGACGGCCACCCTTTGAGAGCCCCTCTCAGAGCGAGACCCAGAGGCGCATCCTCAAGGTGGGATGGCCACACAGCGGGCATACACGGGGAGCTGGGTGGGGGCAGCTGCTGAGCCTGGGGGGACTGGGGCACACACATGAGGTCACCTGCTACGGTCCCGAGGAGTGCCTCGAAGAGTCACAGAGAACATGGAGCAAAGAAATGAACCAGACTTCCCTTGTTTCTTCTTGGCCTCATCAGGTGGATGTGACGTTTCCCCCCTCCATGCCCGAGGGGGCCCAGGACTTGGTCTCCAAGCTTCTGAGATACCAGCCCTCAGAGCGGCTTCCCCTGGCTCAGGTCCTGGAGCACCCCTCGGTGAAGGCGCACTCCCGGAGGGTGTTGCCTCCCGGTGCTCAGAAGGCTTCCTGAGCCCATCTACCTCTGTCCTTCCTGTGCATCCAGGGAAGGCTTCCTCCTTTGTCTTTTTAAATACAGGATGCTAATTAATAAAGACTTGAGTCATTTACTACAAGGGCTTTTTGGTTCTGTGCGTTGATGCACAGAGTGTTTTTGTTTTGTTTTATTTTGTTTTTTGGAATCAGGAAAACTGCCCAAGATGGGGCCCTCTTGGCCTTGGAGATGGTGGCAGGGTTCTCCTTGAGCTCTAGTGGATAACTTCTGATAAAGGCCCTGGAGGTTCCCAACCTGCTGCCTATCAGTGATTCCTCCTCTCAACTATTCCCCATGTTTTCAGGACATTTGTAAGAGGGACCATCATCACACCAAAGCTCCGCCCTCTGGAGGCACCTGGTGTGCTGCCATTTTTGAAGTAAAAGTCATTCACTGCATTCCAGGGCCACAGGATTCCCAAATGCACCCACAGGCACCCCATCCTGTGTCATCTCTAGTAGCAAATGCAGCTTCTCTTCTGAGGTCTGTCACTGTGCCTGCAGCAATCTCAGTGTCCCCTTCCTGACTTGTCCACAGTCCCAAGTGGCAGCCTCTGTGCATCAGTGGAAGCTGACCACACCTGAGTCCACCTCCAGACCCCAGCTATAAGCTCCAGGGTGTTTCCTGTGCAGTGCAGCCATCACTTCCGCCAGGAGTAAAGCCCACAGTCAAGGGCCAGGCACAGTGGAGCACGCCTGTAATCCCAGCAGCTCCAGAGGCTGAGGCAGGAGGTTCATGAGTTCAAAGCCACCCTCAGCAATGGTGAGGTGCTAAGGAACTCAGAGAGACCCTGTCTCTAAATAAAACACAAAAAAGGGCTGGGGATGTTGCTCAGTGGTTAAGTAGCCCTTGGCTCAATACCCAGTATGGGGGGGGGGCGTGGAGGGGAGGACACAGGCCACTAGAAATTAGACATATTGAAAATAGGCTAGAGTTAAGGGTCACAGCTGGGCATCCAGAAATAATGGCTCTAGGGGAAAACAGATTCCATTTCATCCCTGCCTGTCCCCCTTAGTTGAGGAGCAGAGTGGGGTCCTTGAGACAAGTATGCTCTACCCCCGCTACTGACCCCTCACTCAATATGCTAGACTTATTTTCATGTGAAGAATTAGCTTAGGGCAGGGTGGGCAGGTGCTCAAGCCTGTAATCCTCTAGGGACTTAGGAGAGACCAAGGGAGGGCAGCAGCAATTTCAGGCCAACATGGACCATTTAGCCAGACCACCTCTAAAAGGCTGGAGATGTTTCTCAATCCCAGGAATCAAAGACAAAAGAATTAGCTCACTATGGGAGCTAGAAAAGAAAAAGGCAGGGTAAGGTCATGGGCCAGCCTGCAAGTCCTGGTAAGAAAGCAGTGGTCAGGGTCATTGAGGGCTTTTTCCTGGGTATAAGTGAGGATGATTGTGTGTGTTGGAAAGGACCCTGCAGAACAGGGTGAGCCTGGATGCCCATTAGTCATCCCAGGAGTCCTGGTGCCACCAAGGGGAAGGCATTAGGGTATGGCAAATGTTTGTCCTCTGGGCACTTTGGAGGCAGAAGCACAAAATCCCTGACTCCTCCCCAGGGCTCCCACCCTGGATCCCCACCAATGCCCCCCCACACACACACACAGCTTCCCCCTGCACTGGGCATAGAAACCAAGCAGGCTCTGCCACTGAGCTTCATCCTCAGTCCTCTTTATTTTGGGACAGGGTCTGGCCAAGTTGCCCAGGCTGGCCTCCAGAGTCTCCTGTCACTCACTGGATTATAATCAGGGGTCCCCTGTCAGTCACTAGATGAGAACCAGGGTTTCCTGTCAGTCATTGTATGAGAACAAGTGGTCCCCTGTCAGTCATTTGATGGGAACCATGGGTCCCCGGTCACTCACTGGATGAGAACCAGCGTCCCTGTGATTCACTGGATGAGACCCAGGGGTTCCCTGACAGTTACTGGATGAGAACCAGTGTCCCCTGTCAGTCAATGGATAAAAACTAGTGTCCCCTGTCAGTCACTGGATGAGAACCAGGGTCCCATGTCAGTCACTGGATACGAAAAAGCATTCTTCTGTAAGTCACTGTATAAGAAACAGAGTCCTATGCCAGTTGCTGGATGAGAACCAGTGGAGGTCAGCGCGTCCTCTCCCACCTCTGCTGTGTAGGTCCCTTACTGAGCCTCCGTGCCCCCTCAGTACCTTAGGAAGGATGCCTTCCCTCTTCTGGCAGGCTGGCTGAGAGCTGCTGATGCTGCTGCTGGGGAGGCAATGGTGGGGGCAGCGCTGAGCTCCCCAGGTGTCAGCAAGGTGGTATGGAAACCCGGGATGTGACGGCCACGGGCCAACCCTGGTCTCAGCCAGCGCCTCCCAAGACCTGGGCATTTTGTGACATCCCGGGTAAAAGCTAGTCCATTTCCACACCCCATTAGTGAGCGCAGACCTCACTGACGGTGGGTCCAGCTGGGGTGGGAGACGGCCCGCCCTTCATACTCTATGCACTAGTCCCTCCAGAAACCCACCAAAGGCTTCCTCCAGGCATCTGAGGTTGGTTTGTTGGTGTTGTTTTTGTTTTTTTCTCATTCCTTCTGTCCTTCTCCAAGTGACTTCAAAGATGTATTTTGTATCCCACCTGATTTAGCTCCATCTGCAAACAAGCACCCTCAGCACACCCAGCCCTCCCACAGAGAGGACCCCCACAGGTGGCCTTTGGATGTGTTCCCTCAACAGAAAACAATCTCTTCTGGAATGACAAAATGGGAATTCTATTCTATGGAATAAAAACCATTTTATTTCCTGCCTTTTGATTCACTGGATATGAATCAATGTTCCCTGTCAGTCATTGGATGAGAACCAGGTGTACCCTGTCAGTCACTGGATGAGAACCATGGTACCCTGTCAGTTACTGAATGAGAACCAGGGGTCTCCTGTCAGTTACAGCATATGAACCAGGGTCCCCTGAGAGTCACTGGATGAGATCCAGATGTCCCTGTCGGTCACTAGATGAGAACCAGGGGTCCCCTGTGAGTCACTTGATAAGAACCAGGGGTCTCCTGTCAGTCAGTGGATGAGAACCAGTGTCCCCTGTCTGAGACTGGATGAGATAAGGGTCCCTGTTAGTCACTGGATGAGAACCAGGGGTCCACTGTCAGTCATTGGATAAGAACCACGTATCCCCTGTCAGTCACTGGGTGAGAACAAGTGGTCCCCTCTCAGTCATTGGATGGGAACTAGGGTTCCCTGTCAGTTACTTGATGAGAACCAGGGGTCCCCTGTCAGTCACTGGATGAGAACCGGGGTCCGCTGTCAGTCATTGGATGAGAACAAGAAGTCCCTTGTCTTTCACATGATGAGAACCAGGGGCCCCATGTAAGTCAATGGATGAGAACTAGGGGTCCCCTGTCAGTCACTGAATGAGAACAGAGGGATCCCCTGACAGTCAATGGATTCGAACCATGGTCCCCCGTAGGTTACTGAATGAGAAACAGGGGTCTCCTGTAAGTCACTGTATATGAACCAGGTTCATCTGAGAGTCACTGGATGAGATCCAGGGGTCCCTGTCAGTTACTAGATGAGAACCAGGGGTCCCCTGTGAGTCACTGGATGAGAACCAGGGGTGTCCTGTCAGTCACTGGTTGAGAACCAGTGTCCCCTGTCAGTCACATGATGAAAACCAGTGTCCTTGTCAGTCACTGGATGAGAACCAGGGCTCCCCTCTCAGTCACTGATGAGAACAAGGGCTCCCCTCTCAGTCACTGGATTAGAGCAAGTGGTCCTCTGTCAGTCACTGGATGAGAACCATGGCTCCACTGTCAGTCACTGGATGAGAACCAGGGGTCCCCTGTCAGTCAATGGATGAGAATAAATGTCCCCTGTCAGTCATTGCATGAGAACCAGGTGTCCCTGTCAGTCACTGGATGAGAACCAGAAGTCTCCTGTCTGTCACATGATGAGAACAAGGGGTCCTCTGTCAGTCACTGCATGAGAACTAGGGGTCCCCTGTCAGTCACTGGATGAGAACCAGGGGTCCCCTGTCACTCACTGGATATGAACCAGCGTCCCCTGTCAGTCACTGAATGAGAACAAGGGGTCCCCTGTCAGTCACTGGATGAGAAACAGTGGTTTCTGTCAGTCACTGGATGAGAACCAGTGTCTCCTGTCCATTACTGGATGAGAACCAGGGGTCTTCTGTCAGTCACTGGATGAGAAAATAGGGTCCCTTATAGTCACTTGATATGAACCAAGGACCCCTGTCAATCATTGGATGAGAACCAAGGTCCCTACTCAGTCACTGGATAAGAACCAAGAGTCCCCTGTCCGTCACTTGATAAGAACCAGGGTCACCTGTCAGTAACTGGATAATAACCAAAGGTCCACTGTCAGTCACCTGATATGAACCAGGGTCCCCTGTCAGTCATTGGATGAGAAACAGGGGTCCCCTGTCACTGGATGAGAACCAGGGGTCCTGGTCTGTCACTGGATAAGTACCAGTGTCCCTTGTAAGTTACTGGATGAGAACCAGGGGTCTTCTGTCAGTCACTGGTGATAACCAGGGGTCCCCTGTGATAAGAACAAGGGGTCACTATCAGTCACTGGATAAAAACCAGGGTAAACTGTCAGTGTGAAAATGAGAACCATGGGTCCCCTGTCAGTCACAGGATGAGAAACAGGGGTACTGCTGTCATTCACTAGATGAGGACCAGGGGTTCCCTCTCAGTCACTGGATAAGAACCAGGTCCCCTGTCAGTCACGGGATGAGAACCAGGGTTCCTCTGTCAGTCTTTGGATGAGAACCAGGGGTTCCTGTCAGTCACTGGATGAGAACCAGGGGTCCCGTGTAAGTCACTGTATGAGATGCAGGGGTCTCCTCTCAGTCCCTGGATGAGAACCAGGGTCCATGTCAGCCAGTGGATGAGAAGCAGAGATCCCCTGTGAGTCACTGGATGAGAACCAAGGGTTCACTGTCAGTCACTGGGTGGAACAAGGGTTCTCCTGTCAGTCACTGAATGAGAAAGAGGGGTACACTCTCAGTCACTGGATGA